CGGTTTCCCGGAGGTAGGTTACGCTATGTTCCTTACCTTCCCATGTACGTGGGGGGAGTCAAGCTAGGGTACGCGTCAGTTTCTTAAACAATATCTTCAGAGACCACTAGGCCGAGTCTATGAGACGGAAAGCTCCAATATGCCCCAACCAGCAGCTTCCTTCGCGCATAAAAAGAACCTGAGGCCTAATGACATCATCCATTCCGATTTCCAGAAGTCACGTCTGCTCCTGGCCGAAGGGAATTTACACCGAGCAGAAGGACTCCAGGCCTGTCGAGGAAACTTCCAGGCCTGATAGCTTCGAAAATTCTTTGCCACAGCACACAACACACACTGCTCACGCGCAGTCTTTTTCTGGATTTGAAGCCGTGACCATCGCTTTTGGAAAGTCGCGATTACCACGACGCTAAACAGATTCTTAAAAGCCTGGGCCTGCGACACTAGGGTATCCTGAGTATGCCAGTTGAACAGCAATCGCAAAACGCCCGAAATCTCGGAGCTAGGCACTTAGTTTCTTATGCAGTGGCTTTACTGTACTATCATGACTACGAGGCGAGGGTTTAACTCGCATCGTTTCTAGGAAATGCGAGAAGGTGTCCGCGAGAAGCTGTCCGGTTTCTCTGGTTGCAGCTTTTCTGTTACGAGCCGTCCTTGAAACGTTGAAGCATTGTGCTGTCAGAAGCTGTCCGGCTTCTCTTGTCTAAGTCTAAGCTTTTTGTTTTGAGCTGTAAAACGTTCACACAACAAAGAAAGTGTTTAGGGTTTAGGCCCCTAAACCCTAAACCCTAAACCTTAAACCCTAACCCCTAAACCCTAAAGGGTTTAGGAATTAGGGTTTATGGATCCCTAGGCCCCGAAGGCTCGGCCAAAGTGCACCAACCCCAGGAATTTAGGGTGGTTTAGGGCTTAGGGCGTAGGGGTTTAAAAGTTCAGGGGTTGAGGAGTTTAGGGTTTAGTCCTGCCGCCACTCCGCGCCTCTCCATGGCGAGAGAAGTTCTTAGTGAGACTCCAAAGCGTGCACTTGGTACCGATGTCAAGAAGAAAGAACGTCATTTTGTTACGGACGTGTCTGTGTCCATCGAGCCTACGTCAGGAAAAGAACGCCACTTTGTTACGGACACTTCTGTGTCCACGGAGCCTATGTCCAGAAGAGAAAGGCAAGGATTTACTGGTGTTTCCTCTGACCCATCATTTCTCCCTCTTGTACACACCATTAGGAAAAGAATTCATTAACCTCGTGCCTTATTCACCTCCATTTTGTTACGGATCCTATATAACTATTGTTATAGTTGTATTGGTTTTGTCCCTTCAAGTTGCCCCCATGTTTCTGTCGGCGTGTCTGGCGGAACCATTTACAGGGTTTTGCCTTCGGTTGCAGCAACAGACCCAAATCATCTGTCACAGGCTCAGCGGTCGTGATTTTGCCGGCTGCGCCTCAGCCGAAGACAATCCAGAGTGGCAGACACTAGTAGTAGCCCGCCCAACCTTCAGGTGGCGGAGGGTGAGACCCCTCTCGCTCGCCTGCCTCCCACCGCGAAAGAGCCGGTAGCAAGACAGAGAGAAAGATGACCTGCAGGCATCGACATAAACGCACAACTCACAACGAACAAAAGCTAACTGCCAGATTTCAGTGCAGTTTGCATGATTTATTTGGCCCAGAGATGTGCCAGGCTTTCCTCATCTTGCCTAAGAGAGTTGGGCGTCTGCCAGTGGATTTGCGTAGAGTAGAGCCTGCGAGGTCGAAGTTGCAGCCTAAGACGCACAGTGTTCAAGGGGAGCAGAGCCCAAACCCACACCAGCCCAGACGCAGTGAATCACACACACACACACACACCACGGATTTGCCAAACAGCATGAAACCAGACAACGTATCTTTTGCTCGGAAGCGCTTATTGCTGAAGTTTACTACGCATGATGCCGCGCCTGCCTTCGCCTGCCCACGCAAGCAATAGCGAGAAACAACCACCAATTCACCAATGAGCGACTTTAGGTGTCCATCTTCACTGTTCATCGCATGTTCTGCCCGTGCTGGTGGCTGGGCAGCTTACTGCTGGTTGCTTCTCAGTATTTTTGCATGGGCAGCAGGCAGGCGCGGCAACATGCATAGCAAAAGACTTCAGCCGCGAGTGCTGGTGTTCCCCAACTCAAAAAACATCCACGAATCCACGAAGATCATGCAGTTTGCCAGGCGCTCCTGGTGTCGCTGCAGCAGGAGATTGCCACTCAGTGCCCTGTAGCTTGCGACGGCATGCCGTGTTTACTGGGAGGAGCCGCGTCTGTTCCACAAACTCATTGCGCGGTGCGACGACATGCGCAGAGTCGCGGGCTCACGCTTTGTCGAAAGCGTTAATCATCTTGGTTTGTTTTTCGTGTTTCTTTTCAGGTGCTTAGCTGCCTAGCTCTACGTTTTTCACACACGTTGTAGTCAGACGTAGATCAGGGACCGGAGAAGCCTTGTGGGGGTCCGAGCATCGGGCGGGCCGGGATGTGGAACCGAGAGTCGCTTGTGCAGGAATCATGGGGTGTCTGGATCATGGGTGCCATTCAACGGGCCAGGCTTGTAGAAGTGGATTGCGTTGTGGCTGCATATGGCTGCATGATGTGCACGATTAGGCGGTCAGCGGGTTTGACTTCCAGCAGGCGCTTGGCTCCTTCTCATCGTCTGGCCCATGCGAAACGGTCCTAGTCCTGCTAGTTGCAGGCGATCTTCAACGCTTACGCGGAGGCGGAGGACTACCTGACGCCACGAACGATCGCTGACGCCGCCGTCCCAAGTTGCGTATTTTTTTGTCTTGGAGGCATTGCAGTGTATCGTTGAGGTCATTCTTTCAGCCATTCCATCGGCGAACATTACAGAGCAAGAAGTGGAATGCTCTCTCCAGCGCTTTGGCTTCTGGGAGCAGCAGTACACGTGGCAGCCTTAAATTTCAGTGTTACTGTTGCAGAAGCTAGATGGCACCCTTCAAACATACCTTGAAGCCTATGGTTTTTGTTTGAGGTTCAGCTCGGAGGCACAAGGTAATAGCCATTTGCAATTGAATGCTGTGCGACAGGCCCTCAAATGCCCTCCATGCCTGCCGCTACGTGGCGGCCATCCACTGGCTCCGATACATAAGCGACGTCGTCGTCGGCGATGAGAGGGCATCAAACAGCTCAGAGCCACTTGGAAGCATGTGGCTGCAATCCTTCATGATGCTTCCGTGGAGTCTTGACCACGACCATTGCCACCACCACCACCACCACTCCCATTCTTAATCAGTGCCGTTCATCCGATATTCGGAATGCATACTTCCAGGCAGAGCCTATCGATAGGGTTGTACTCATGAGACAACCCAGCGGAGGCTTACCCGGCGTGGACCCTGAGGCCATGTTGTTAATCAGAGTACCGGTATATGGACTCTGCGACAGTGGCCGAGGCTTTTGGTGCAAGGTCGATAGGGAAGCACGCGAGGTCGGCTTCCAGGTGAGTAGGATCTTCCCTGCGTTTTACTTTTACCGCGAAGGCGGAAAAGTTGTTTGTGTGCTCACCACACACGTGGATGACTTTTTGTGGGCATCCATCGGCAAGGGCGGTACTATCATAGACCGCTTACTCAAGAAGTTCGAGGTAGGCCGGCGCGAGTCTGATCGACTACGCTTCTGCGGCAAGCAGCTTGATAGATCTGGTAATGATGTATTAATCGACGTGACCGATAATACAAATAAGATTACCTATATAGATATTAAGCCGCACCGCAAACACACAGATCAAGTTGACAAAGGTGAAGAGCGTCAACTAAGGTCTGTAGTGGGCAGCCTTTCCTGGATATCTAGGCAAGCCAGGCCAGATATCCTCTACCGTGTATCGAAGCTTCAAAGCTCGATAAAAGGCGCAACTATTGGCACTCTCCATGAGGCCAATAAGGTTTTAGAGCGTGCTCTAAAGGGACGTGATCTCAAGTTAAGGTACCGAAATGGACCTTTCGACTTTGATCGTCTCGGCGTACTGACTGCTTCAGACGCCAGCTTTGCAGGCGAATCGAACAATCGATCGCAACAAGGTCGCATTCACTTTCTAGTGCCTGCAGACCAGCTACGTGACCCGCAACGCACCAATTACGATGTAATGGTGGTGTCTTTTGTGTCCACTACGATTAAACGAGTGCGCAGAGCAACGCTTCAAGCAGAAACGTATGCTCTCCAAAACGCACAGGAATCCGGCGATAGGATCCGTGCTGCACTAGCCGAACTCTACGGCCATGGGTCGAGAGGTACAGACTGGGAGCAAAACGCGAGAACTTTCGTTCCGCATGTGTGCCTCACCGATTGTAGGAGCCTGGCCGATCACCTCAATACCGAAGCCCCGGCTCGGGTGCAAGATAAGAGGTTACAGATCGAGCTTAGTGCGTTACGTCAGTCTATCTTCAACGAAGACGGCGTGAGAACGACTGAGGCCTACCCCGAAGGGGGAGACCGCGTGGACTGGGTAGACACGTCAACTCAAGTAGCTGATTGTTTCACCAAGTCAATGAAACCTGATTTTCTAATCAAGGTTCTGAACAGTGGTGTGCATACGATTAGTCGCGAGAAACTGTAAGAGTAGATCGCAGGCGCTACGTGCTGGACATACCTGGTATGTACCGTTGTAGCTGAGTAAGCTGCAGACATCACCTGCAATGGAACGATGCATATCGTATCCCGGTGATTAATTAATTGTTTTCCAAACCTCCCTGTATCTCATGATGCGAGAACAGGTTGACTGTTAGTAGGGAACCGCAGTCATGAGATGTGTGAACGTGATTGTATATATTCCCGCTGCCAAAGGGCTGTGCAGTCTTGGCGAGAAAAGGCGGCACCAATTCTGATTTTTTTCAGAAGTTGCTCTGGGTCCAATCCATCAATTCCACTTTTGGGCTGACTTGCGCACAGGTTGCCTCTCTCCCTCACCAATGGAGATGATTGCATAAACGCATTTTTTAAATCGCCGACCGTGGCTTTGTACTTCATCGAAGGACGTGGAGTTAAGGGTCGGGGCATATCGTTCCAACGTCAGAATGTCGGGATCGCGATCCCCACGAATGCGCGCGAGATTTCTGAACATCGGGTGCCCCAGGTTGTTCAGCGGGCTTCCACCGACGCACCATGCGCGACGGGAGAATTCGCTGACTCTCCACTGGGTCAGCTCTGATGCGCCGCGATTCCTCCACTGACAAAACTTTCACCGCATTGGTCTGGGCAACCTTGTCCCACTCTTGTTTGTCACTGATCCTCCACCCAGGCCATTCCTCCGCCTTAATCTCATGTTCAAATACTTCTCCTTGTCCACGGTTCTTGCCGCTCGCAAAGGCCTGGACATCGATCTCCTTGGCACTCAACACGGTGAAACCCACCCAGGAATAGTTCGTCTTGCACGGCTTCTTTCGGTTTTTAAACCAGTTGTCGCCATGGACGTGGACCTCGCCGTTCTCGTCCACCATGTAGGTAGCGCGGTACTTAAGTCTTCGAGGCATCAAGGCCCCTCGGACTTTTGCAGGATTGCACAACTGTTTCTTCGGAAAGTTGTGTTGCCTGATCACGATGTCATTGCTGACCTCCTCCCACACATCCGGCTCCCAGGTCCACTTGTCGCCCTCGAGCAATTACCACATCTTGGCTGAGGGCTCATCCACCTTCTCGGCAAAGTAGGGGTGATGCCTTCCCTCTGGTCGGTGCTGCATGATGCGCCTCGCTGCCTCGTAGGGGGCACTTCCAGGCGGGTTTCCATCCAGCCTCTCGTTCCTCATAACTTGTTGCGCGGTCTCAACGGGATCGCCCAAAATCGGGCGGTGCTCCATAGCCTCGTTTTGAACCGGAACTGGCTCGGGCTCGGACTCAGTGGTTCTGCGGCTCATGTCCACTGATCCATCACGAAGATTTTGAGGCTGGGGAGCATGTGGAGGTTGTTCGGGAACTGGATCACCCTCCTGTTCCTTTTCACTAGGCTCATAGTCCAACTCGCTGTCCTCTGGGATGGCCACATCGCGTCCATCACCTCGTCGCTGTCGCTGTGCGGGTCGTTGAAGACTGCCTCCACCATCTAGACTGTCATATCTCTCGGCTTCTTGATGGAGGGCATCATCATCCTCATCGCCGGGAGCTCCCAAACCAGTCATGTCCCGGAAGGTCCTTTTGTGGGTGGTTCTACCCAGCTCCTCTTTGAGAGCCTCGAGCTCTCCTGCAAGGATCTCCTTCGCAATCTGTTCCTCGGACGTAGCGTGTCTGCGCTGCTCAAAGCTAATTAGCTTCCAAAGTTCGCCCTTCATGGAGATCCACAGGCTGGGGGTCTCAACGACCAACACGATTCCAGGTCCAACCCAGACCGGCTTGCGGCTTTCCAACGACTCCGGTGTCATTGCATGCTTGCGCTTCCTCATCTTGGGCTGACGATAAACATAAACTGTTTCCCCAGCTGAAAACTGAACTTGCACTCGACTCCTCGCATTCTTGGCCTTAGAAAGAGCCACCTCGGTCTGCGACTTGATGTACGCCTCTTGAGCAGCCGCCCTGATTTCCAGAGCCTTTTTCATTTCAGCATCGGCGCTGGCCACCACCATCGCAGGGTCCAGACTGTCGTGCGACCGCAAAGATCCGGGCAGCCGTAAGTTGTGGCCAATCTGTCGCTGCATAGGAGAAAACCCACTCCTGTTTCCATATCGGTTTTTGGCGCACTCCACAGCATACATAAGGGTTTTGACTTCCTCCCAAGAACCGATGTAGGTGTTCTCGCGGGCTTTCTCATACACCAATTTGAAATGTGCACCGGCACGCTCTGTTTTTCCAGCCTGCCAAGGCGACCGGGCCGCCGTATGGCGAACCAACGCTCCAGCGTGAGAGGCTAGGTCTGCAAATTGGCCTCGAAACTCGGAGCCTAAGTCGGTAACAATCACGTCGGGGACGCCAAAGGTACGACACCAAACCCTCATGAAGGTACGCCAGGTATGGGTCGCCTCCGTCGACTTCAGTCTCTCCACAACTTGATAAGACGTTCCCCAATCTGTGATGTTCAGCGCGGGGAAGGTTTCTCTCCGGTTGAGCGCACTCAAGAAAATCACATCCACACCTACAATGCGGCCTGGCTCGTAGATCTTGGGCAAAACAGCAGGTCGGGCTGGCTTCGGCTTGATCCTTGATTCACACACCGAACATCGAAAATCACGGGCCACATAGCGAATGATGTGTGGCTTGGCAGTAGCCAACCTGAGGGATCGCGCCATCTCTCGAGGAGCGGGATGGCCAAGGTTGTCATGCAACTTCTTGACAAGTCTCTTCTCCTCGGCGGTAGGTTCCCAATCTGCCTGTTCAGCCGACGGTTCCAACTCTGCCTCCGCATCCTCGCCTGCTGCCTCCGCTGACTCATCTTCCTCTTCTGCAAACACTGAAGAGAACTGACCAACACCTTCCCGAAGGCTCCCATCGAACATGTACACGATTCGGGCCTGGGGCAACCGGAACCCAAGTTCTCGCAGCTCTCGCACAGAAACTTTTCCAACGAGATCATTGAGTAGTCTTTCTGTCTCATCAAACGGCTGGCAGCTTCTTCCACCTCTGCCATCTCTGAAGCCGACGCGAAACATTCGACCTCTGAAGAAAGACCCCCACCGTGCTCCTGACAATAAATTTGTTGACCCCCACTGTGCTCCTGACAAACATCAAAATTAACGACCACGTGGTGTGCCTCCTGATTCTGACGAAGGCCATCAACGTTCTCGTGGTGTGCCTCCTGATTCTGATGAAGGCCATCAACGTTCTCCTGGTGTGCCTTCTGATTCTGACTCAGGCCATCAATGTCCTGGGCGGTGAAGCTCACCTTGCGCATCTTAGCCTCCATCGCACTCTTGAGGAAGTACTCCGAGTTGCCCGTCATCGCCAATCCATCAGGTAACCTGCACTGAACTCGCCGTCCACGCAGGTCATCGGAGTCTAACATCTCTTCCACATATTCCCGATCTTGTTCAGAGTGCACAAGAAGGAAGGCTTTGCCATTCAGGTGTTGCCATTCTGCAGCTTCACAGGCCAGGCATAACGACTGTCTTTCGCGGCTCGGCCTGAGCACCAAGTGGTTCGGTCTGGCACTTCCCAACTGACACCAAAACTGCTCGTGACAGGACGGATCCAAAGTGGCCATCATCCCGCCATCACTCACAAAACAAGGGCTTGACAAACTCGGTGAAACAGCCTCCTGCACCTCGTCGTGCTTCTCTGGCTCCATGTTTTGAAGTAAACGTTGTGCTTGCTTATCCGCAAGCTTCTTCTGTGATGTGGACAAGGCTTTCAGCTTGCCCTCTTCTTCACTCCACATCACCATGGAAGCCTCATCATCGAACGTAACCGCAAAGATCTCATCGTGGAGTTCCTTTGGTAACCAACCAACACATTCTTGCCAACGTTCATCAGCTGCACTCCACTGGTAGAACACCCGCGACATCGGCATCTCCCAAGGAGCAGAGGCTCTAGAACAAAATGTCCTCATCTGTGCACGCCTAGCTGTAACCAGTTGGGCCTGAGTCTGCACCAAACATAAGCTTTCTGGCCCGACATCCTCCGGCAATCCGTCGCCGGTCACTCCGCATGCGCTATCTGAAAACCACCATCCGGGCCCTGCACATAGAGCTCGTCCTGGGCCTCGGTCTCGTCCACCTCCATCTGCTGGATCGCCGGGGCATCCAGTCTGCGCTTCAGCTCGGTCCTCTCGATCTCGTCCCAGACAAAGAACTCGCATAGGCGTTTGGCACATCGGTAAAAGTGCCTCCCCTGGGTAGGTCCCAACTTCTTGACCTGTGAGCGGTAAGCGGGCTGCTGGCAGTAGCACACCACCGTCATTGGTTGAGAACCCGAGCTCTCCCCCGCCATCGGCCCTGCCGTCGTTGACATAGATCCGCGAGCCTTCGAAGTCCTCGGCGGAGTGAGGGGGTATGCCTTGGCCTCGATCTGCTTCTTCTTGAGTTCCTCCGGGTTGAGGTAGGCCCATCTGCCCAGGCATAGTGCGCAATGGATGTCCTTCCCGTACTGGTTCCCTCCACCCTTCAGCTCCGACGTCGGGTGGGTGCACTTCTCCACACTCATGCGGGCTGCCTCCTTGGCCTTGCGCGTCCCCAAGAATGCCGCATACTTGATGATCTCTGCATACTCCAGCTGCTTGTCCCGGGGAGCCGCCATAGTCGACGTTGAACTTATTGGGGTAGAAAGAGATGGGGCCTGGTCCGGATAGGACAGAAGTCCCAACCGTCGCAAGGAGCCATCGGGAAGCCAGTCCCAACTTCTTCCTCGGACGTCGATCAACTCCATGAGGTGTCGATGATCACACGCCATCTCTTCATGGCACGTCAGCTTCGCATCTCTGCTCCAGACATTCTCGCGGGAGTGGCCGGGTGGTCCCGCTCTCGTTGATCCAACATACGCTGAAGGAGCATCTGCGCCATGGTTCACGGCCTCGAATTTAACCTTCCTCACACTGGGTCGCTCGAGCGAAGTCATGCTGTGGTTCACGAAGGAGCTGGAGACCAACACAAACTGCTCTTGGCTAAGGTTGTTACTCTCAGCATCACTCGGCAAAGACCAACCCTCTGGTGCGAATGACAGCACATCCACAGACATGTGACCCGAAGGAAGCTTCGTCATAGGAGTTTTAACCCCAAAACCCTTGAGCTCCAGCGTGTCGCTGTCCAAGTCCACAACGGCCCTTAGCTGGCGAAGCATTTTGATAGGAAGGAGAAGCGGCACATTGTCCGTCACCACAGTCGGCTCCATAAGCCCATTGACTCCCGCTATACCTACTGGTACTTCAGCAACTCCTATCACTTCTGCACGGCCACCAACACCACTAGCCTGCGCTTTCTTCTTCGGATTCCAACGATACTGAAGGCCCTTCTCCCTGAGAGCCTGTGCCAGCTGCAGAAGCGACGCCTTGCCGATAAGGCCGACACCTTCGTTGGGGCTTGTACAGATGCCGACGAAGGGTTCAACGGGCTCATCAGGAACTACTTGTCGTAGAGGTGACTGCTCGCTAAACCTTTGTCTTGACACCGCTCTCAAAATGCTTCCAAACCTGGGCATATAGGACAGCAGATCCTTTTCCTTCCTTTCGCCGTAGAAAGTCTGCGTGGCTCCACGAAAGGCCTTGCTTGCTGGACCATCGGCCTCGCTGCTCTGTACAAAGAAACCCGATCGCACCGAGGGGGTAGAGGCGATCGAAGACTGCTGCGTTGACGCCGAACTCGCCCTTGCGGCTGAAGCCCTTCATCTCTCATCCGGAGCATTGCGACACTCCTTGGCCCAATGGCCAACCTGTCCGCATCTTGCACATCGAGTCCGCAGCTTCAACATGTCCACGTGCACTCGGGTTCCATGCTTGGTGAACTTGACCTTGTCGCGGCCTTTCGTCGCAAGAGTCGGACGACCCTTGCCTTCGAAGGCACCCTTCCCTTTTCCCTTGCCACCACCGGAAGAAGTAGAGGAAGACTTCCCTTGAGGATAGTATCCTCGACTGGTACGTTGTTCACGAAGGGATCGGCGCACATCTTGGTAAGTGGCGAGGGCCTCCAACATCTGGTCTTCATTAATCACATCTTGCATGTCATTCTCGCCAATGTAGACATAGCCCTCGTCAAGGTCGGACTCGCCTTCTTCCGGAAGGAACTCGCCGACGTAGGTCTCGTTCGTCAGGTCCGGGCCTTCATGCTCTTCATCGACCTCGGTCACATAGTGGCTCGGACCCTTTCTTCTGGCGTCGAAGTTCCCCTTGTCTAGCCGCCTCAGGTTCTCCACGACTGTCTTGCGGTCGCAGCTCCCTCTTCCCCAAGTCAACATCTGACTCTGCTGCACCTCATTGAGATTCGCATGTCTGAACATCACGTAGCCGACGGCGATGTCGTGGAGAGGAACCTTTTGCCGCTCCAACTCCTTGAACGCATACTCCATCCGGATGACATAGTCCCCAAAGGATTCGCGGCTGCCTCGGGGTTCTCCGTATATGGCACTCTCGAACGCTTGGGGCAGTGACGACTCCAAGTGCGGGGAGAAGTGGTCGGTAAGGGCCTTGACAAGGTTCTCCATGCCCTTCTCACAAGCAATGTCCTCGAAGCTTAAGTTATCTGCCGTGGCCCTCGCTGACCCTGTAAGCTGCCTAAGCAGCTTGACCCCCCCATTCTTCCTTCGGGATCTCAGTCTCATACTCCCAAAGCTTCAACTCCTTTAACCATCTCGGGAAAGTCCTGTCAGGTTCCCGACCGTCGTAGCCAGGGGGTGGATCACGATCCCCGGAAGTATCCTCCGCCATTGCCTCCTCCGCCATCCGCTGATGCCTGAGGCCCAGTCACCTTGGGTGGCATCACCAAGACCAAGGCGCTTTCACAGCGCCAGCCCGGAGCAGTCCGCTTGGACCTTCACTGCTCCGCTACCACCTGTGAAGACAGGTGGCTCTCCGAACTCTTAACTTGCTCAAACTGCGGCTCCAGCGACAGCGCTCAACGGCTTTCCTGCATCCATCAACTGCGTAGTCACCAGGCACAAGAAGGGGCCCCTCGTGAACCCAAATGCCAGCAGGCATGAGTAAAAGCTTTCGGGAAGTGCTGCACACATAGGAAATCACACACAGCACACAGGTTCGAATAACTTCGGGCCTCCTCTGTCATCTTTTCAAGGATGTCTGGCTTGCTCATGAAGAATAATCGCAGCAACGTGTAAAACCACAAGCAGGTGCTGGCTGCAGGCTTGAAATCGCTCGGGCTAATCTTCTTGGACGTGAAAATGCCCATCATCTCCTTCTTCTTCCAGGCATCAGCTTTGGGAAACTGCATGCCATCACAGAAGTCGTGCAGCTCGGTGTTCGGAATCTTTAGAGCTGCCACTCAGCAAAGGATGCATTTGATTTCTGCATGAGCTACTCCGTGCACCAACTAAATGTGCATCCAGTCGAACATGCAACTGGATGCTCCTAAGCATCGAGTTGTGAGAATACCAAACTGGTTCGTGTTCAAACCCAGGGCTTGTTCAAGTTCGGCCAGCTTGGCATTCGATAGCTGGCTGCTTTGGGCCACGAGGTGTGCTGCAGCCTTGAACAAAGCCTCGTCACTCCGGATTTTGAATCTGGCAACGTCGGTGCTGCAGATCGGGAGCAGATCATCGGAATCTCCTTCTGTCCGCTTGCTGATAACATTGGCACAAAAGGTGCATGGGACAGTGCCGATTCCCCTTTCGTGTCTAGCATGTGCTTCAAGGCAGAGTCTGCCGAAAAAAAACTCGGCTGCCCTTGGCTTCTTCTTCACAGGATACAATTGTCACTGCCGACAATCCCCCAATGTTCGTGTCTTGACCTCGTAAGTTAATGGTCCGCTCCGGAGCCCGCGGCACTGCCTGCGGCGCCGGAAAAGCTATACAGCACTTCTTGAAACGCAGCAGCTAACATGTCCCCAAGTCAAAACGCGAGGTTAATACTGTATTCGCTCCTCTTTCTGCCGCGGCGCCACAGCCTGCGGGGCTTCGCAATCGTATCCCAAAATGGCACCGCCGAGCTAAGAAAGAATCAGCAAACATGTCCAAGAAAACCACCCTCCGGCGCCGCAGCCTCCGGCGCCGGAGGTTTTGGAGGTGTCGGTTTGTCATACGCGTTAATGACCTGGGGAATGCTTCGTCAAGTCGAAACAATGTTCGTGTCTTCACCTGGTAAGCAATGGTGAGCCTGCGGCGCCGCAGCATGCGGCGCCAGATAGGTCATTGCTTGGCAATTGTACCCACAGATGCTACTCATGAAGGAGCTGTCGTGCTTTGACCATCGCAAAATGACGTGACCAAAACAGCCGGCAAGCAACATAATTCCCACCCCCCCCTGCTTTCCACCTAAACTTCAAAGCGAAAATGAGCTAAAATCTGCACGACAATTGCGCGGTTGCTATCGGTACTTCTCAATTGCTGTTTGGGGTCGAGGCTGGTATAATTAGTAGGAGGGGAAAGGGGGAAGTGATTCCCGTAATACGGAGTCGAAGTGTTCATGCTATAGTGTTGCCAATGGCATGTGACGATGAACCTGCAAGAGACCCTTGGTTGTGTCCAGTCCCACGGCTCCATATGCCCACTGTCACTATCAGGAATCGCAAGGGAGCAGGTCGGCTGCAGGCACTGGTGATGTCGATGACGTGTTTTGCCAAGTCGGGATAAGGGAGCTTTGGGAAATTGGCCGTAGGGTTTGGGCAGTGGCGTCCATGTGCAAAGCTTTTCCTAGTATGCTGCGTCGGCTTGTTGTCATTCTTGGTGTCACAACTAGACAGGGAAGGGCTGAGACATGTAGCATCACGTATATAGGTTTACGTGGCTTCAGCGACTTCGTGTCGGACGGACGTGCTGGGATTAAAAGTCTATTGGGGGATAGGATACTGCTTCAGGGCTTCTCGCAATTTCTCGCACGTGCTCACACAGATCTCACACAAGCACTTGAATTCTGAAACTCCCCGCCCACAGCAAGACGTGGATCTAGCAGAACCTGACTCGAAGCTCTGAACAGTAAGGAGTCTAACACCCATACCCTGAGTTACGAAGTTATCATGCCCAAATTGAGGCCCTGGACCCTTCGCTGCGTGTCCGACGAACTGGCGGTCCAAGCTCGAGTCAGACTCTGCGCGCGGGAAAGATACTGTGCATCAGAGGAGTCTTCAGAAGCCCAGGCAGATCTCGCTCTTGTCTACTGGCCCGGTTAGACTCTGAGAAGGGACCGCTTCAAGATGGAACTGAAGGCGAATGCCAGCGCACTGGATCACTGCCCCCTTTGCTAGGGGCATAGGTTAAAACGTGAGAGCAATGCGAGACTATCGAACATGTTTATGCATGTGCTGCTGTCATTTAGTATTGGTAAGGCCAAGCCCAAGAGATCGATTATGCTGGCGGAAATCCAACTCCAAGTTATCAGGATAGCATCAGCTTCACTCCGCGGTTGGGCTGCAGACATCTTCGTCTCAGCTTGTTTGGCTCTTTGCAGACCTTTTTCCTGTCCGCCTTCTCGAACGATGAGCGACAGCCCGATTTGGGTTTGCATCTCCGGCAGACGCCCTGACAATGTCCAGCCTCTCCGCGAGGCGTCGATTTCCTTCGAACACACACGTGGCACGGTGCTACGACGGTGTGACGTTAAAAAGCTTGCATGTGCATACTCTTGAGCTCCAATGCAGGTGCTGGGCATCCAGTTGTTTCGGAAAGTGCGTTGGCACGTTGCGGACAACGACGCCAAGGATTACGCCAGCAAGGGCGTGGAGGCAAGCATTTATGCGCTGGTATGGCCGAGCAGACAGCATTGACCTTCACATGCAAGGGCCGTTTCGAAAACCATTGGTCAAAATTGCAATTGCACCGCTTACCTCTCAAAAGACTTGGTTCGTAACTGAGTCGAGCTCCCAAGGTGAGTCAGATCCTTGAATGCGGACCAGTTCACAATGCGCAGAACGCCGCACTCCGCCTCGCCTGCAGGACTGAATTTTCTCATATCCGCGGCTTTGAGGACGACTGTTGGTTTGTTCAGGACGGGAAGACCGGTAATCGTCATTCCAGACGACGTTTCCGGCTTCTCGATCTGTGACGGCTCCCTCGACTGGGAAGGCGGTCATGGTCGGCCACTTCTGCCGGACAAGTTTGCCAAGGTCCTGCTCAAGGTGAGGGGCATTAAGGGAATTTGCGGTTCCTGCGTTTGGGCGGTGCCTGTTTCCACATAAGACAGCTTGGCGAACTCAAGTATTGGCGCGAGGCTTTGTTGGAGACCGGATGCTGCTTCGGGGGGCCTTATGTCTGCCCGAATGCAGTCTTCCGGTATCAAATGCCGTTCATGTCCTTCACCAACTTTGTTGCGGGCGATGTCTGGATGGTCGGGCCTTCGGCGCGGAGCAAGCATGTCAAGACGGTTTCGTGCAAACATCGCGTAGAGCGTCACGCAGGTTCTCCCATCCACTTTGCCGGACAGCGTGCATTTTCGCAGCGAAGCTTGTCCCAAACAGGACACATTGGAGCACTGAATATCAAGCGGCGGTGGCCCTTACACCCTTAGTAGCCGTCCGTCGAGTGTCCCCAAAGCCACATGTCGTGCGATGCGGATGTCAACACATCTAAAATGCAGGACTACGACTTCTGCGCGCAACTCTTGCGAGGTGGCATGCCTGTGTTGCGGCTGAATAGGCTGGGCTTCGCAATGGTGCTTCAGTGTGGCGTAGGGTTTTGCGGGGAAATGGTTGGGTGGATGTGATGACTTGGAGGCTTGGTGCGACTTGCGGCCACAAGCAAAAAGGCGGGGCTGGCAAAGGCGAAAAGCGCTGGAAGCAGGACACATTGTGGCAATATTCACCCGACCATTCGTTCCGCATCGCATGCGTGCAAACATCGCTTGGGTGCATGCCATGTTTCATGATAGGACGTCAGCGCCGCAAAATGGCTTATCAAGACTTGGCCGGGCAGCTTCCAGCACAAGAAGAATCCGCAGGCAGTGCTGGGTGGTGCGGAATCTTTCAGCATGCGGCAATGCCACTGCCACCCCTTCAGGGTTCCTGTGCAGGGAAAAGTGATCGACGCAGAGATATTATTCACCGGTGGCCAATCGCTCATAGAAGCCGCCGATGCGCGCCTGATGGGCGAAGATGGGACCCTGCGCAATCTAATCGATCTGATGGCGTCCACGAAGGTCCACCGCACATGTTTCACTGGGGTTCGGCTTGGTCTTGCTAGTTTTTGCGTTCTTCCTTTTCCGTTGATCTTTGATTCAGGTCAGCAAAGAGCAATCCCTTGAGATCCAGGGCCGTGGAAGGAAGAAGGCAGAGAAGAACAAGGCCAAACCATCAGCGAAGAGCAGACAAGCGTTTTTATTGGTGCGTGGTATTGGCTTGCCTACTGCATGTGTAGGCGGCCAACGACCCGAGTAAGTCTGAATCAAGGCAGGACTTTTCGCGGGCCTGTGGTGGGAATCTAGAAATCGCATCAGAAACGCGTCCGACCGTCGTAGCAACAACGGCGGCTGTTGCTATCCATGCACGCCAGGCTTGGCAAACGCCAACGCAAGCGCAAGCAGGCCGGCCAAGTGCTCAAGGGTCCGAAGCGCAAGGGCGGGCGAAAGCGCTCTGCGCTGAAGCCGTTGCCCAACAGTTTTTCAGTAGCTAAGAGCAGGCTATTGAAGCAGCTTCGCGGGCATTTGCACAAGTTCGCGCAAGGCTGAAAACGTATCAGAAACGAATACGATATTGAAGCGAAGCACACCTGGATGGATCGATGCGGTTCTTGAAAATCACGAGCAATACTTGTCGGAGCATGAGAACTTTTCTGAGACCACGGATAATCTACGTTGTTTTACTACGTTACTTTCATTTTAAGTTAAATAAAGTAATTGCTTATGGTTGGGATGCAATTTTCTCTATTGAAGCATCGATATTTTAGTAATTAATCTGAAGCTAGATATATATATATATTATAAATAAAATTCGTAGGCTTTTGATTTATTTTCTTTTACTGATTTTTCGATTTATATAAAATTTGGGACGGGGCGTTTGGGAATCTTTAATAATAAGGTTTGAACATATGATTTGATTATTATAGATAATATCGGACTTTAGATAAATATTCTATTAAATAATATCTAATAAAGAAGCATTGAGAAGATGAGGTTAAAATAATGAGAGTTTTTGCCCGATTTTTTAAAATAGAAATTTCTTTATTTTTTTATATTTCGATTCGAATGATTTCTTTATTTCGATATTTCTTGATTAAATATTCGATTATTTATTTGATATTTTTATCCTATATTTTTATAAATTGATATTTCGAAATATCGAAATTAATTTTTGGAAGTAAGATAAATGCTTATTTTATATAAATGGCGTTGGGTTTTCTATTAGTGTTTAATTTATAAATTATAAATGGAATGTAGATTGCAGAAATTCTGCATTCTAGATAAGATAAAAAGGATTTTGAATTCCCGAAAAAATGACGAAAATTTTTTTTAAAAATTAGATAATTCTGAATAGAGGAGAGAGTAATACATTTAAATAGAGAGAGAAGCAAGAAGCGAAGCAAAATTAAAATATAAGTATATAGAAACCGAGAATTTCTCTTAAAAGATTTACTTCTATTAAATAAAAAAGAAAATATTTATTGGGGTAGTCTGGGTAGTTTCTTTTTTCTTTTCCTTCTAGGACCGTATTAGTTATCTCACACGGTGCCGAGGAAAAAAAAAGGAGAAGAAGCTTCGTTATGTCAAAATTCTCGCTCCGTCTAGAAATCTGGGGGGGGGGGTCCTCGGGAAAGTCTTCCTTAGGGGTCTGGGCCATTTCCTGAGTTTAGAATAGAGATACGGCGGTCCCTCTTCTAATAGGAACTTGGCTTCTCGGCTTGTCCTAGAGGGCCTCCCTCGGGAGGCCTGGCCATTTGATTATTTTAGAATCGGCCTATCCCTTAAATTTGGATTTTTTCTTACTTCAGTCATTTTGGGTTTATTGTGCTTTTTGTTGTTTTCAATTGTCTTTTTTTTGGGTTTTAGTTGTGCTTTTTTGGGGTTTCAATTGTATTTTTTGGGGATCTAGTTGAGATTTAAGTTGTGTTTTTTTTTGGCTTTCAGTTGTATTTTTTTGGGTTTTAATTGTGTTTTTTTGGGTTTCAATTGTGCTTGTGTTGGGTTTTAATTATTTTTTTTTGAGGTTTCAGTTGTATTTGTACGGAGTAGGGCCTTTGCCATTTGGTTCCTCGGACTTGTTTCTTGCCGCACGCAGGGCGTATAGCTTTCGACCCGATCTCTTGAAGCTTACACCTTCAATTTCGATTTTCAATTCATCAGGCCTTTTGGCTTTCAGTTGTGCTATTTCTTGTGTTTGTCCTTGGGAGACTAAGGTATTGGACGAACTTTCTGAAATATCGAAAGGGTTCATATCAATACGAGTCGTTGCAAAGGATAGGCAACGAAGATAGTAGATTGTACTTGCGAGAAGGATATCATCTATATACCGAATATGAAGCATAGAGTGACTCCATCCATGCCCGCACCGAAACCCCTCTTGGACTTGCGAATCCACGTTTTGTTTGAAGCGACGTTCTTGGCCACCCAAGGCCACACTGGAGGCCACCTTGCTCACCAGACCACCAATAGGCAAGCATCGTAGCGCAAACACCTTGTCTCCGACCGTGGCCAAACAGCACAGCATAGATGCTGCAAAACCCTTGAACAGCTCTTGAATTGTCCATACTACGGTTTTTGGGCTAAACCTGTTCGCGGCAGAACTGAACCAGACTTGGCGCTTCTTGCTAGGGTGCTTCACCGTCACAAACTGTTGAGGGCACTGAGAAGTGAAGATGGTGAGCAGCTCTATGGCTTCTTATATTGCTGTGCAAGCATCGACCATCTCGAAAAATTGGCCAGCATCCCTGTGATGCCCTCAAGCCGGCCCATGGCCCGGAAATAACGGCAACAAGTAGGACAGCCACCTCCTGGGTTCTGTGGTAAACGGTGCAGCTGCTGGAGCTTCCGAGCCGCATCGTCTAGGGACCAGGCGTCACAAGAAGTGTCCTCAAAGTGTTTCAGTATTGACTCCCAGGCCCGGTGCAAAGACCGCCAAAGCGGGCGGGGAGGCCACCTTGCATACGAAACGATTTTTCTCACGCAAGAATGACCCGGCTTTGTGCATAGCCTGATACCATTCTGCCAATATTTGCTCTTGATGGTATTATAAGTGTAAGGCAATACACTCGACGCCGCGTTGAGTCCCAGCTTTGAGGCCAAAGGGACGCCAAAAAATTCTGAAGAGCATGGAAAGAGTCCATATATTTGCCAAGTCTTCCGTCATATGTGTCAGACTCCAAGAGGAAGCCGCTAAAACAAAGCTTGCTAGAAGGAGACTGTACGCAGATCTTGGCATCACCCGGGCAAACTTTTTGCCCTTATCATCTGGCACGATGGCAGGGTCTGGCACACCATGCTCCTTGAAAGGTCTTGTGTACTCATCGTACTGGGATTGAGTGTCCCGCCTGGATTGCTGACGGCGTCTGAGACCCAGTTCCAAGTTTCTGTCTCATGGAATAGATCTGTTCAGTGTGCAATTGATTAACCTGCTTGGGTAGACAGAATGTAAGTGTCGGAGTACTCAAAATCATGTATGCTTGACTCATCTTCGTACCATAAATAAGTATGCACAAGTTTCCTATATTCGATACGAGAAGACTATATTTTATGAAGAAACTATATTTATTTCTCGATTATGAAAATATATAAATCAAAATTCAAGAATTTTTAGATTTCTAAAATTTCATTTTTATTTTGAGAATATTTCATTATTCTCGCATCTAAAAATTATACTAGAGATAATAAAACAAATTCAAATTTTCTTTTATATTGATATTTATTATTATCTTATCGGAGAATTAAGAAATAAAAAATAAAATTAAAGAACATAAAACATATATAATATAACGAATAATTCAAAAATAATAAAGAATTTACATTGAAATTTTTATTTTGAGGTTTATATAAAGCTATAA